AAGCAAACTGCTAGAGAGGCCCACAGAAATCCACAAAGATACCTACACAACAGACTGCTGGCAATGGTCGAGAGACAGCCTGAACTGACCTACTCTGGTGATGGGATGGCCAAACACCCTAATTGTCGTGCTAGAAACCCCATCCAATGACTGAGGGATCTGGATGCAGAGATCCACGGCTACGCCCCGAGTGGATCTCTGGGAGTCCAATTAGCGAGAATGAGGAGGGTTTATATGAGCGAGAATTGTTGAGACCAAGGTTGGATAAAGCACAGGGACAAATAGCCAAACGAATGGAAATACATGAACTATGAACCAATGGCTGAGGGGCCCCCAACTGGATCAGGCCCTCTGAATGGGTGAGACAGTTGATTGGCTTGATCTGTTTGGGAGGCATCCAGGCAGTGGGACCGGGTCCTGTGCTCATTGCATGAGTTGGCTGTTTGAAACCTGGGGCCTATGCAGGATTGTTTGGCTCGGCCTGGGAGGAGGGACTGGACCTACCTGGACTGAGTCTACCAGGTTGATCTCAGTCCTCGGGGGGGGGGGGGGGGGGGGGGGGGGGTGGGTGGGGGGGGAGGCTTTGCCCTGGAGGCGGTGGGAATGGGGGGTGGGCTGGGGGAAGGTGAGGGGGGCCGGAGGGGGGAGAACAAGGGAATCTGTGGCTGATATGTAGAACTGAATTGTATTGCAAAATAAAAATAAAAAATTTAAAAAAATATATTTGTAAATATTCTATCTGGTAAGGGACTTGTATCTAAAATGTGTATTTAAAAACTTACAAATTAATAATAAAAAACAAAAACCTCAGCAGGAGGTATAGCTCAAGTTGTAGTTTGAGTGAAAATGGCCCCCATAGGCCCATATGGAGTGGCACTATTAGCAGGTGTGGCCTTCTTGGGAGAATTGTGTCACTGGGGGGACAGCTTTGAGGTTTCAGAAGCTCAAGCCAGGCCCAGTGTCGCTCTCTTTTCCTGCTGCCTGCGGATCCAGATGTAGAACTCTCAGCTCCTTCTCCAGCACCATGTCTGCCTGTGTGCCACCATGCTTCTTGCTATGATGATAATGGACTAAACCCCTGAACTGTAAGCCACTCCCAATTAAATATTTTCCTTTATAAGAGTTGCTGTGGTCATGGTGTGTCTTCACAGCAATAGAAACCATAACTAGGACAGATGTCGTAGAGTATATTATCATAAGGGAGGCCAAGTTTAATCCCTAGCACCAAAACAAAGCCCAATAACTCTCAACAGGCAAAGGACATGAATAAGTATATCTCCAAAGAAGATAGTCAATAAGAAAGTGAAAAGATACTCAATATCCTCATTCATAATGAAAATGCAAACCAAAACTAAGATATAATACCACTTCACGCCCACTGGGATGGCTAGAGCCAAAAATCACTTCTTAACAAATTTAGTAAGAATGGAAAAACTGAACTGGTAATAATGTAAAATGTGCAGACACTCTGAAAATTAGTATGAGGCCTAAAAGTGTGACTGACTCAGTGGTGTTGTGCTTGCCCAGTATGTACAAGGCCCTGGGTTAGATCCATGGCACTGCCAGGGGATGGAAAAAGACTTTAAACTCTCTGTAGTGGCTCAAGCCTGAAATCTCAATACTTAAGAATCTGAGGCAGGAGGATCTGTATTTCAAAGCAAGCCTGAGCTACATAAATAAGATCCTGTCTCCAATAACTAGAAAGAGCCACTTTTGGTGGTGTACACCTTTAATTTCAGTAGTTCCAGGCCAGACTGGTCTATACATCAAGTTCCAGGCCAGGTGGGAATGCATAGTGAGACTCTGTCCAAAATGAAAGAGGGGGCTGAAGTGGGGGCAGAGAGAAAGAGAAAGGGTGTCAGAGAAACAGAACACACCAATACGGCAATTCCTTAATTGATTAAACATAGATTACCATATGATTTGGAAATTCTATTCTTACATTAGTATGGAAACATGGAGTTTGTTTATCTAAAAGAAACAAAACTTAAGTCCATGCAAAACTTATATATTAATATTTGTAGCTTTAGTGAAATCAACCCAAAAAATCTTGGGGCTGTAGAGATGGCTCAGCACATAAAGTGCCTGCCATACAAGCCTAAGGGACCTGAGTTTAATCCCACGTAAAGGTGGAAGGACAGAACCGATTCCACAAAACTGTTCTCTGACCCACACGCATACAACAACAATAAACAAAAATCTTGTATATCATGCTAGGTGTGGTAGTAAACGCCTTTAATCTTAGCACCTCCATGACCTCAAGGACAACAGTCTACATATCAAATTCCAGGCCAGCCAAAGCTACCTGGTAAGTCCATTTCAAAAAAAAAAATCACAAAAACAAAAACCCTTGTATATCTAAACCATTATTTGGTGATAATAAATAATGTAATATTTACATATGCCACAATATGAATAAACCATGAAAAGTCAATGAAACAGTCAAAAGAGATCATATACTGACAGGTGTGGTAGTACATGCCTTATAATTCCAGGAGGCGGAAAGAAAAAAGAATCAGTTCAAAGATAGACTAGGCTACACAGAGAGTTTTCAAGGCCAGCCAGCCTGAGTTACATGAGACAATGTCTCAAGGAAACAAAACCATCAAACAAAGAGACCACATATCATATAATCCCATTCATATTAAATGTCCAGAATAGACAAATATATAAAGAATACACATAAGTTAGTAGTTGCTTAGGGATGGTCAGAAGGGAGAAGGTATAGAAAGAAGACAGCCAAAAGGTAACAGGTTTCTTTCTAAGGCAAAACTGAATGTAGCAATGGTGGTACATATCACTGAATATGTAAAATCTACTCATATGTCCTTTTTAATGGATGAATTACATGGTACATAAATTGTCTCAAAAAGATGTTTAAGAAGCAAATGAACACAGGGTATTGATGAATGTCAGGATTAATACAAATAAGGACTCTTTATGCTAAAAGGTGCTGACAAAGTACATGATGCCTCAATTTCTACTCTTTTAAATATCAGTGAAATAAACTCCAATTTATACTAAATTTATGGACTGGGGATGTAGCTCAGTGGTATAATGCTTGCCAAGCTTGTGAAAGGCCCTGGGTTTGATTCTCAGCACTGCAAAGTGATTTATATATCTTTTTAGTAGAAATTACGTAGTGCAGTGGTAGCTGTATAATGAACCATACAGTTTAAATAGTATATAAAATCCCCTAGTTTTAAGAGTAAGTTTTACACTTAAGGTGTTTCCCAACATTAATAGTATTCTATTCATTATTAGTATGTACCTGTACAAGTCAACATTTACTATGACCCTAGTGCCTACCAGGGTCTTAGTCATAAGTACCTGACACAAAGAAAGCAATAAATAAACAAAGAGGCTTGAAGGCTTTCATTCATCAATATTGGGACTAGTTTCCTCATCTGCAAAATTAGAAGGACTAGATATAACATTCTTTAAAACAGCATTGTTCAATAGAATTTTTATTTATCTATGTTGTCAATAGGTATCAGCTACACCTGGCTACTGAATACCTGAAGTGTGGCTAACACAACTGAGAAATTAATTTTTTATCTTAATGGCCACATCAAGCTAGTGGCTATGGTTGTAGAGCATAATGCAGAAAAAAATACATTTTACAGTCCATCCCAATAATCACACACATGTGGGAATATGTGTATACATACACAAAAGTTCACAAGATAATTCTTACCTTAATATACAAAAAGCACTAGAGTTTCTTTTCTATATTACTTAATTTCATCTAAAAACATGCTGATCTAACCACTAACATTTCATAACAAAATAGTAAGACTCCTTTCAGCTCTGAAATATTATGCTGTATACTAATAACAAATGTTTGGGATGATAACTATACCAATTATTCTAATTTGGTTACTTATATACATGTATCAAATATCACACCACATTCCATAAATATACACAATTATCTGTCAATTTAAAATATTTTTAATTTTAAAAATTGTTCAATCCTTGTCACCTTATGCCTGTCACATCTCAGCACTCAGTAGGCTGAAGCAGGAGGATCACAAGTTCAAGGCCAAAGTGGACTACAAAGTAAGACCTTGTCTTAAAAAAACCCACACAATCCTTAAAGGCATAACTGTATGCTTCTCTTAGCCTCTATTATATAAATGGTGTTCATGACTGTAATATTAGACATTATATATTTGTTGACAAAGAATCATAATCTAAGAAACTGCTTTCCAAACAAAAATGATGGTATGTTAAGGTTACAGTAATGAATATGTGGAGGCAATATAAACGTTGTCGGTATATGAGAAATAAAAATATAAATTGAAGTACAAGTACTACAGACGGTTTAAAAAAAAAACTATTCTAGAATGAAATAATGGAAACCAGTATTCCAAAGTACCATAACCACTGCCACACTCCTAAGGGAAAGTCATAAGGCTTTTCAACATTATCTGTGCACAAAGAACATAATTGAATAGTCATAGCAAAAGATAATTAAGCTTATATCTTAGAGCGGTGTACATTTTGGAGAAAAAGATAATTATGTGGGGTTTTTTTTGCCTATCAGGGAGCACGCCTGTCAGCAAGGGAGTTAGCATACCAATTCAGTTTGCTACTTGTTTATAGGTGGCGTACTGTCATCTTGAAGTGCACTCGAAATTGTTATTTCCAATTTAATACAATCTGAACCACATGCACTTTAGCACCAAATTCCGTGCCTAACTTTTGAAAGTAGCCCCGTCTTTCTCACACTTATAAAACTACCCGCAAATCCCTACAAGACACTGGGTACTCCAGGTGCCCTGTGCCTGAAACCTCCCGACTCTCTGCTGTTCCCAAATGTTTTCTTCTTCTTTTCCTCGACTTACTAACCCTAACTTCCTACACTCCTGCTACTCCGCGTTCGCCCTGACAATCTCTCTTCTAGGCGCTCTCTCTGACCTCAGGTCACGAGGGCAACCCTTTCCCTATTAGGTTCCCTTGCCCTTCACCTACTCTTCAAGCGCATGGCAACACACCTGGTATATTCGAGCGCTTCCTGACGCGCCGCACTGGTGTGACCGCCACCGCGGGCCTGAGCCGCAGAGAAAGACTAGAGGCCGGGTCAGAACAGCCGAATGTCTGTGCTTTTCGAAAGCAGCCGCCGCGGCCGCCCAGCGCCAAGAATGTATCGCGAGCAGCGCCATCTTGAGCGAGGAAAGAGGAACCGAGAGCGGAGGATTGTGGGACACTGGCGGATTGAACTCGGCGGCTTTCATTGCCTCTCCCCTCCCCCCAGCTCGTGTCTGACACCGGAAATAGCTTGTGTCTGAAGATGCCTATGCTTAGGTATAGGTGTTTTTCTTTCTCCCCTAGGGCTGGGCTTTGTTTTTCTTTCTTTTTTGTTTTGTTTTTTTGTTTTGTTTTTTACATAGTCCAGAACATCGGAATACCATTGTCTGTCTTTTCTTTGCATTGCCAGATAAAATACAGAATTGCCCACTTAAATGTTATTTCAGATAAATAACAAATTATTTGTTGGTATAATTATGCCCCAGGTATTGTTTTGGTAAATGTGACAACTCTATCTTGTTTGTCACTCTATTCATTTCTTGTCTCCAACTCAGTGCCATGATCCACTCCCTGCATACCTCTCATTTTCCATGTGCATTGACGTTTAGGATAGAGACATAAGCTTTCTACTGGAGGACGCTTCACCAGTGAGAGTCACCACCTTTCTTGTAAATGTTTTTTTTTCTAATATGCCTTTGGCCTTTTGTTGTTGGGACAATTGGGTGCTCACTGTACACACATTTCTTTTTTAATTCCATTAATTTATCTCCTTGTAGCGCTTCCCTTTGGTTTCTTCAGAGTTCGTAATGAAAAACTGCTAGATTAGCTGATGGATGGTAAGTGAACATGTTATATAGTAAAGTGCATATTTAAAGACACGTTTGTATTATTTTGTCAGCACTATAATCAAACCAAATACCATGGAAATATGTTTACAGGTTTCTGGGGAACAATTTCCAAATATAAATGTTACTTGAAAACCTGGAGTCAAGAAGGCAATTAGAATTTCATTAATGCATTCTCAAAACTCCTCTCTCTCTCTCTCTCTCTCTCTCTCTCTCTCTCTCTCTCTCTCTCTCTCTGTGTGTGTGTGTGTGTGTGTGTGTGTGTGTGTGTGTGTGTGTGTGTGTATCTGGCACAGGGTCTCAATGTGAAGCTCTGGATACCCTGGAACTTGCTATGTAGACCAGGCTGGCCTCAAATTCCAATGTCTGCCTGTCATTGCCTCAGAGATGCTGGAATTAAAGGCATGCACAACCTCACCAAGCTCATTTTCAAACCTTTTACACAAGACAGGCAAGTAATTATGAATTAATTCGGCAGGAGCATTATAAACTAGTGAGAGATGGCATGAAGAAAGACAAAAGAGATGTATGGCTCATGCAGATAGCTTTACTTTGTTCTGAGATCCATATCACACGCCAGGTTTCAGGAGAAGAAAATGAGTAGAATTTCAAATGGAAGAGGTTGACCCCATGTAAAGAAGATGACAATATTAAAAGCAAGAAAGCATAAGAAAACTTTCAGGCCCAGAAAGCGTATTACAAAATAGTAGGAGATGAAACACAGTGACAGAAAGGCTTGATGGCAAAAGGCCTTCCATTTCATTTTAAGAAATTAATGCTGTATACTGCAGCTATTGAATGGCTTAATCAGGAGAGTAAAATGATCAGACTTGTATATCCATTAAACTACTCTGGCTTAAGTGGAAACACTGGATTAGAAAAAGGTTCATATTGAAGTCCTGGAGTTAATGCAACAGTTTAATCACAAAGTCCTAGACTTAGCAGGCCAAGTGGCAATGGATCAATTCGAGATATAGTAAGAAGGTGGGATGGACAAGGCTTGATGACTAATTGGATGTTTGTAAATTACTGCCTTGTTGTTGATAATGACCTCCTTTATTAATGACTGTGATATCATTCATAAGTATAATATCAGCATCCTTTCTGTATTATCAGCAGTTTATATCAGAGACATCCTAGAGTTTACCAATGAATTCTGTAAGGAATGAATATTGCTATTGACTTTTTCTAGCCAGATAAAGCATTGTTGAATGATGCTCTTACTTTTTGTAAGATATCAGAACCTATATAATAAATATTTTATGAGGGTTCTCAGACATGATATGATGAAATAATATGTTACATTTTTATGTTTGTCTAAACACATAATCCATTGCTGGATCTTAAGCAATTCTGGAAATTTAGTAAGAGTTTTCTATGGTTGTCCTTATAAATTCCTAGTAGATAAAGAAGAATATGGAGATAAAATCAAAACTGAACCCATGATAATCTGGCTGTCCATCAACTACTCTGTTCACTAGAAGGTTTTGCCTACTTCTTTTTAAAATTATTTATTGGATTTATTTATTTTATGTGTGAGTGTTTGGTCTGCATGTATGTATTTGCACCACGTGTGTTTGGTGCCTTCGGAGGTCAGAAGAAGGGGTTAGATCCCCTGAAAGTGGAGCTGTAAATGGCTGTGAATCACCATCTACATGCATGGGAATTGAACCCAAATCCTTTGCAAGAGCAACAAGTGCTCCTAACTGCTGAAACAATTCTCCACCCCTCCCCATTGCCTACTTTTTAAACATAAAACTAAATGAAATTTTCAAAAACCATGTGGAATTCTATATTTTAATCAGGAATGATTTCAGATTTCTGAAATACATACACCTGGTACTGTAGATAATATCTCAAGATCTCAAGTTTTACTACAAATCCGTACAAGTACTATTGATATGAAATTACAATCTTGAGGTCTTTAAAGATTTGAAATTATAGCCGGGCGGTGGTGGCGCACGCCTTTAATCCCAGCACTCGGGAGGCAGAGCCAGGCGGATCTCTGTGAGTTCGAGGCCAGCCTGGGCTACGAAGTTAGTTCCAGGAAAGGCGCAAAGCTACACAGAGAAACGCTGTCTCGAAAAACCAAAAAAAAAAAAAAAAGATTTGAAATTATATTTATAACTTTTTTCTTCTGAAATGAAATGAGAAAAAAAACTACAGGAATTGGTTTGAAACTCTCATTATTTTTTCTTCCTTTTTTATTGAGAATTTCATAAATACATACATGTAATAGGTTTTGCTCTAATCTATTCCCCTATTCCCTCCACCATCACTTCTCTCTGCCAACTTCATGTACTTGTTTTTCAAAACCATCGAGTCCACTTAGTGCTGTCTGTATGTACAAAGGCTTAGGACCACGTCCTGGAGCATGGGTAGCTACTCAGGACTGCATACCCGAAGAAAACTGGCCCCCCCGCCCAAACAGCTAACAGTCTCCGGTTGTTCTTCTATTAGGAGTGGGACTTGGCAGCCACTTCCGCTCTCCAAGCTGCAATTTTGTCTAACTTGATCTTGCACAGGACTCGGGCATGTTGTCCCAACCACTGTGATTGTATATGTTGTGTCCAGAAGACACTGTTTCACCGTAGTTATCCATCACCTTTGACTCCTATGTTCTTTCCTCTTTCACAATCATCCCTGAGCCCATAGAGGAAGGCATGTGTTACAGATTATCCCATATAGGGCTGGTTACTCCACAATCTATTTCTCTCTCTCTCTCTCTCTCTCTCTCTCTCTCTCTCTCTCTCTCTCTCTCTCTCTCTCTCTCTCTCTCCCCTCCCCTCCCCCTCCCCTCTCTCCACCCCTCCCCCTCCATCGCTCCCCTCTCCCCTCCCCCTCTCCCCTTTCCGCTCTCCCCTCTCCACTCTCCCCTCTCCCCTCTCCTTCTCCCTCTCCCCTGAGACAAGGTTTCTCTGTGTTACAGCTCTGGCTGTCCTGGAACTCATTTGTAGACCAGGCTGGCCTCAAACTCACAAAGATCCGCCTGGCTCTGCCTCCCAAGTGCTGGGGTTAAAGGCGTGCGCCACCACCGCCCAGCAATCTCTTATTTTCTGCATGTTGACCAGTTGTGTGTCTCTGTTTTAATCTCTATCTACTGCAAAAAGTAGATAGATGATGAGATTCTCTGGTGAGGGCTGAAAGATGCAATGATCTATTCATATAATGATAATTCATTTAAGAATCAGTCTAGTATGTGTCTGTGTCTGGGTTTGGGTATGTGCACATGAGTTCTGCTGCCTGAGGGAGCCAGAAGAGGGTATTGGATCCTGGAGCTGGAGTTACAGGTGGTTGTTAGTCACCTGACATGGGTGCTGGGAATTAAACCTGGGTCCTCTGAGAGAGCAATAAACACTCTTAACTACTGAGCCATCTCTCCAACCCCGGTTTTGAGGTATTTAAATGTAGTGAATGTATTTTACAGTGGTCTTCATTTTAAGCAAAGTTCTGTGATTTAAAAAATGTAAGTAACCTTGGAATATTCAAGTAGCTACTCTCTAATGAGCTAGAGGTGCAAGCATTTATTGACCAAATAAACCAATCATAATTTTCATAGTACCTAGGAATATAGCATAAAATAAAAGTTGTGCATTAATGGAGAAAGAGCATTGCAACAAACAGGCCAACTTGGCCTGCAGCATCTTGACACATCTAAAAGAGACTGAAGTAGATACAATAAAAACTACTATAAATAGCTGCTACAGTCACAGATCACATGATAATACTTTATGCATAATTACACCTAATTGTGGATAGCATTTTGCAACTTATAAAGTACCTTTTTCATACCTTATTTAATTTTCACATCAACCCTGGAAAATGGGTCTTATTTATTAACAGTTTTATCCCATATTCATGAGGAAACAGGTTGAGACTTGACAGAGGCTGCAGAGCTAATAGGAATGGAGACTACACTGAGATTTAATGACTCCATGTATGGTGCTCTTTTCATTTATTACTCCTAAATTTAAAGAAAACACTGTGTATTTTGAGAAGACCACCACGATCTTTTTGTTACTTGAAAATGCCAGAAGTTATTCTCACTTCAGGGCTTTTGTACTTGCTTTCCTCTCTGCCTGGAACATCTCTCCTGCAGATTTGTTAATGACTTTTTCTTGCCCTTCAGGTCTCAGCTCAAATGTCATCTGCTTAAAAAAGCTTCCTAAGAGCACCTTATCTACCCCCCACCACCATTGCCTCTCCACATTGCCCTGTTTCCATTAAAATCTTCCTACTCAAGCTGGGCTTGGTGGCACAGGCCTGCAATCCCAAATACTCACTAGGCTACTGCAGGAGGATTGAAAATTTAGGGCCTGCTGGGGAATTCTTTATAATATTTTTATTAATTCTATGAGAATTTCATACAATGTATTGTGTTCATTTACTCCCACTTCTGTACCTATGCAACTTCGTGTTCTTATTTTTTTAATTGAAAAATAGATTCTTCTCTCATACAATACCTGTGAACCACAGTTTCCCCTCCCTCCACTCCTCCCAGGTTCCCATCACCTACCCTCTCCCCCAGATCCACTCCCTATCCATTTCCCTTCAAAAAGGAAGAGGCCTCCAAGAGACAACAATCAAATACAATAAAATAAGATACAATGAGACTGGGCAAATGCCTTCATATTGAGACTGGACAAGGCAACCCAATAGGATGAAGAGTTCCCAAGAGCAGGCAAAAGAGTCAGAGACATACCCACTTCCACTGTTAGGAATCCGCACCACCACCCACCACCCTCCCCACCCCTGCCCAAAGAAACACCAAGCTTACAGCCAGAACATATACACAGAGGACCTGGAACAGGCCTCGTGCTTGCTGCTTCAGTCTCTGTGAGCTCATGAGCCCTGATAAGTTGATTTGGTGAGCCATGTTCTCCTGGTGTCCTCCATTCCCTCAGATTCCTACAATCTTTGCTCCTCCTCTTCCACTGGGTTCCCTGAGCTCCAAGGATAGGGACCACAAGGAAACCTCCAATTTACACTCT